TGCTGAGGTTGACTACTATTTAGGATATTCGATGAGGATATTTGAAAGATTTTGTTTTGATGAAAGAGCTATCTTACCATTTTGGCTATTCTATGCTTCTGCTTTCATCAGCTTGCACCAGAACAGAAATTAATTTAAGTAATGTTTCTGAAAATGTTTTCAAATATATATATATATTTAAAAAATAAATTTATATATATTTCAAATTTATAAATTTATTTTCAAATTTATAATATCAAATATTTTATTTTTTTTAGCCTATATTACTATCAAAATACTTATATTTTTGGAATACAGTTAATTCAAACTCGTTTAATTCTATACTGGTATTAAATAATTAAGTTAATAGAAGAAAAGTTTTTAATAGTTGATATTCGCATTAATGAGATGGAGAGATGGACGAGTCTGCCGGTTTTTGCCCATTTTTGCACATTCTATGTTTGAATACTATATTGGTAAGAAGCATAATAGTCCTATAGTGTTTTAAAACCCTTCTTTTCTGCTAGATTAGATTGTGAATCCCGTAAGTACTATAATTGGTAATAAATTTTATAAAAAACTGTGAAAAACGTAAATCATATGATTTATATAAGAATGTAAATTAATAATCGAAGAAAAAGTGATTGACGATTGACATTTGTGATTACGAAACTGTGATTTCAGCTATAGTGCGGCGTTAGATTGAAATTTATTATTTGGAAATATAGGAAGACTAGAAGCATAACCTTCGAGGGCCACTTGTAATCCAAAGTTCGACATTCTTTTACGCTTTTTTGGATAATCTAATACTTTAGATTTAATAGCATAACCGCCTATATTAAGAGAAGAGACTAATCAACTTCTTTCTGGATTAATATTGTATTTTGTATCATTTTCTTCAAGACAGGCATTTTTCTTACAAGACTTAGTAGATATAAATTCCTGTTATCATGTATTGTACGGCCGATAAAAGTTTTGTTTGCTTATAATTACTGAAGTAAATAAAGTATTGTAATCGCGAAAAATTACGAGTGTCATACTATTTCAACGAAAATATCCATTTTGACTGCTCTCGAATCCATTTGAATGATGTTTTTGCGTGACATCTGTACGTAAAGACAGAATAAAGGACTCTTTTTCCCAAAACGGATTGAAAAATGGATTTAAAATGTATTCAGAAGAGATATTTTTCGTGACGCCTGTAAGTACGTACTTATGTATGAATCTCGCATAACTCAAAAACGAATAGTCTCAGAACGGTGAAATTTTGTGTATGAGACTGCTATAACATATAGTTGAGCACCTCCCTTTTTGTTGCAGTCAGCCGCAACAAAAGTATATAAATATGTGTAATAAATATATAAATAAAATAAAAAATTTGAATACATCATTCATAAACACAACAAAATTCTAAAATTTCCATCCGATTGTAGCATAATTTGAAATATTTTATTGATATTATGTTTTATTATTAAAATATTTATAATTTACTTATTCTCTACAAAACCTGAAGACTCCACAGCATTCTCTAAATACTAACATATTTATCAAATTAGCATATCGAATTTGTGTGTTTATTCTGCACCGGTGGCCAAAAGTGTGCTAAATTCGCAGTTACTATATAAAAGGCCTCCGTTCCTTGGATAGAGGCAACTGGCCTTTTTAAACTATTCTATCATTCCATTATAAAAAAAATAAATTGAAAACACGCTTTAGTACATGAAAAAAAAATAAAAATATTTCAATTAAAAATTTTTTTTTTCATAAGGTGAGAGCCTTCAACGTTTATTTTGAAAATACTAAAGAATTTCGTATAATTTAAAATTTTCAAGCAATAATTCCATTTTTAAAATATAGCAAAAATTCAAAAATATAAATTCAGAGGCTCTTTAAACAATAATATAAAAATATTAATCATATTAGGAGCCTTCACAAAGTAAAATCTTAAAAATGCTTTACTTAATTTTTATCAAATTCAGCACTTTTTGAAGTCAAATAAATATACGAAACTACATTATAAGTAAATCATAAAATTTTTTAAATTATTGATTTTCATCTTAAAATGATTTAAACAAAATATTAACATTAATGATTTAAACAAAATATAGTATCATAAAACAATAGAATAACTTATAAATGCAAAATTATTTTAAAACTTAATTAACTCGATGAAAAAAATTGGCTTTGTAACTGAAACTTAATTAGCACTTCAACATCAGTTTTCATAATGTTCCATTCTTTCAATGAGAAGAGCTCTGAAAACGCAAACGAAAGCAAAACACTATTTCGTATTGAACATTTCATTGATAAGGGTTGCTGACCTTCAAAGTAGTACTTTGGATGTTTACTTTGTTTTACGCTATGATCGGAAATGAATAAATATTGCGAATAATTGAAGAGAACAAGAACTATTAACCTAGTTTCTGGACGGTATCTGAATAAAATACCGACACAGAACTGACAGGTGAAACCGTAACTAACAAACGGCACCAATGTAATATCGTGATTCTTTTGTTATTACATTATTATTTGGTGAAGCCGTAAATAAGTTAAATAACTCATTAAACCTTATACTAATTAAACTAGCCAAACCTGAAATAAACTCATAAGCGCTTGTTATTTCAACATTTTTGCGTGATCGTAATTAATGGGAAATAAGTTGCGTTGTGTTCTAACCATTCCGAGACCGAGCTAGGTAAGAATCGGACAAGAAAATAAATGTAATTCACAAATAAAAACATAACATAAAATTCAATATTAATTCTGGTTTATTTAGTATTCTCAGATCTAAAAGGAATATTCACAGAATTGTCTTTTTATCATAATTTACATAGTTATGGACTACCCAGTAAATTTTTTATATTAACTTAATTCATAATTTTGGTATAAGATTACAGACAGGTCATATTTAACACTGTTCAAATAAGCTATAAAGCCGAAGATAGGTTATTACATTTTTTTTCACCTTCAGGTGTTAAGTATGCATTATTAGTAGGACGGACAATTAATTCAGAGAAATTTTACATTTTTAATTATTAATTATTAGCTCCTCAGCCAAAAATTAAGTCTCCAGTAAAAACAAGGAAAGAAAACAGCTGAATTTTTCAGAAAATTACATTAGAATTCTATTAGGTAAATTCCTTCAATAAGGTTACTTTAGTGCTAAAGCCAGTTAATATCAACAGTCCTTTACTTAATAGTAGGAGGAATAAATTAGAGCGACTTATCTGTTTATTGAATGCGGTGCCTAGGTTCCATCGGAGATTTCAAGCAAGCGTCCGCCAAGGAATAAAGATTCTTCAGCTGCAACGATTCACTACGCTCCCGGTTGCAGGGCAAGACTAAAGGTCAAGGCTTCCGAACTTGATGATTCGAAGGATGATGCAGTAGAAGGCGAGGATCAACATCAGTGGGAAAACGATGACAATGCAATTAGCAAGATTAGGCCAGAAGTCCTATATCCAACAGGTGGAACCCACTAATTGATGATAAAAAGCAGCATGTCAATCGAGATACGTTCCTTGAGATCACAGCTTCCCTTCTAAAGACAGCTTTCTTCATAATACAAGGTAAGAAGGTATTAACGCTTAACTGGCCACGAACCGCTAGGCTTAATCGGTCGGCCATGCGAGCACTCATCAAAAGAGTTAGGATACACGAGGAAGAAGAGCGAAACCATCCTTTCACTTAGTACAGATAGAATTACTAGTTTGGGAGCAAAAGCATTTTTATGCTATCCAACGAAAACCCTTATTTTTCCACTGTGCACTGATCAGCAACTGAAATCAACTTCATTTGAGACTTTATTGTGCTTTATCAGTAAGCATTGAGAGCTTTAAGCATTCGTTTTCGATTGTCCTTAGAGTCCTGACTTGAAACTTTTTATTTTGGACAAAAATTTTAATTTTTTCTTCTTTTAAGGAAGATTTTCCAGACGTATCTTCAACAGTATTGGTTTGGTTTATTTATCTATGACAAAGCACTCGAGGGCTATCTGACTAAGGGAAGGGAAGCCTTCTTGGAGGACTCTCTAGGAGAAACTGGCTCGTATACAGGTTACACATCGCAAAAATCAGAAAAACGCCCATGCAACCAGCGCATTTGCCGAGATTCGAATCACGGACTGCATTAGCAGTGTTCAGCGACTTTCCGCTGGGCCGCCGGTAGGCTTCAACATTATTGGAACATTATTATGTTCTACTATGTGTTTTGTTCTATTATTGCTTATTGCACTTTAAGTGTCGATTTGAAGCTTTAAAAATAAAGTTATGTGATAATTCACGTAGGAAATATATTTATTATATGATAATTTATTTATTACACACTAATTTTCGAGAAAGAAACATGCAATATGTTTGGAGATAAGTAAATTTTTCATCTGCTTGCAATATGGTATTATTTTACTGTATTACAGCATATTGCTCGTAGTATTACAATATGTAACTCATAATAACTGCAACATTACGACACTGCAGTATTACAACATAACTTTACAAAATTACAATATAACAACGTAACATTCATAACTTTTATATTTTGATCCATGTATTTGTATCAGACAACTTAAGCGGAAAAGCATAACTCTCTGAGTATTATATATATTTCTTATTAGAAATATACATTATCGAAATTCTTAATCTCACAGAAAATCACACTTATATGCAAAAGATAGATTTCTTTGGTAATTGTATTGCGTTTATCGAATCAATAAATAATTTTTTTTTTCCAAAAGGCAAAACTTCAGAATACAAAATTTTATTTGAAAGTTAGAAATAATCTGGAATTAATCATATCACATAGTTTTTTTAGAAGTTTTATTCCACATTTTTTTAAAACCCTATCTATAAAAACACAACATAAAATGCTGCATAACATAAAACATAACATAACTGCAATAATGTTTACTTAAATAAAGTATCGACCGCTGTGATATCGGTATTCACAGAATCTCATAGGAAAAACATTTTATCATTTCCACTCTGCTTTAATTTCTGAATAACCGATAATGTTTATTTTTCTAGGTACTTGGTTTGATCTGTCTCTCTGTGATAGCACACTATTCTCAGCTGTTTCATCCATTAACCGGAAGTGCTTTGGGACTTCTCTGCAGTAAGAGCGCCGCCTATTTCCTTCTCGTATCATATGCCTGCTTTGTGACGTCATTGGTACTTCTCGTGTCGAGCGTCTTGTCTTACTGCACTGCCTCATTTTTGCCCAAAACTGCTTTTGTAAGAAAGAGGTTCTTTTTTTGTTTTTATTACTTAAAGTTAAATATGGTATTTAAACAGTATTAAGTCTGGTGATCTTTAAATGAATGTAAACAGTATGCATTACAACGAGAATGTCAATAAATATATTATACAATTAATTTCTTATGGAAATAAGGAAAACTGAACACAACATTTTGAAATTTACGATGATTTACATCATCTGAAAATTTTATTTGTGTAACTAAAATAGCATAATTTTGATAATTAAAACTTCCAATATTCTAAGAAATGAGAATGCAAAAACATAATGGAAAAATGAAGATCGAACAACTATTAGTTGCTATGGCTGTGGGGAATCAGGTACTTTATATCTGGATTTATGTACTTTTATATATTGCCTAAATTTCTTGGACATATTTTAAGATGCACGTGTGTATAGGTTCTTACAGACATCACAAAAATATCCTTTGCTGTATATGTATGGCCTTGCTGGTCAGGGGGCTGAGGCTAAATGCCCAGTCTGCTCTCTCCCTCTCTCTTAAGAAGCAAACACTGATTTCAGAGCTGTACACCTTTGGGCATTCTCTGTCGAGGAACCTCAGACGACTATTTTGAGAGTAAATTTAAACGGGTTAACCGGAATTGTATGTGCTGACACTGGAGTTAGCCACACTACAACGGGAAAAACGGTATATTGTCCTTCGAAAGAAAGAGGAATGGAATTTGGGAAAACCAGCATGAATGTTACACTCGCCGATGGTCTTCAGAAGGAAACAGAAGGTTATATGATTCAAGTAGATATTGAAATTGAAGAAGATCGTTCCGAATAATGTTATTTACATTACCTGCAACAAACGATAACAGAACGCTTTTAGGAACTGATTTTTTACGTAACGCTGGAAATAGTAGGTAGTATTATCATGACAACCTTAAACAGAAATTTAGCATTAATGATGATGTTTAACTACCCGAACCTAATGATTATGAAGAATTTAACCGTTTCGATTAAGAGAATGTGAAGGAAGAAATTTAACTAAAATCCAAAGGGAAAAACTTAGTACTCTGTTAACGAAATACGAGACTGTGTTGCAGCCAGAAGAAGCCAACTGCCTATCTTGAACATCACATAAATACCGGCAATAAACCTTCAGTTTCAGTATCCTCATATTGGATGTCTCCAGCCATGAAGTATATTTTAAAGAAAGAGTTTGATTATATGGTGGAAAAGAAAATAATACAAGAATGTGTGTCTGCATACTCTGTGCTTGTGGTTCTTATACCCAGACTAAGCAGAAAAGTCTGGCTTTGTGTCTATTATCGAGGATTGGATGCTGTTTCGAAGGCAGATTCATATCCATTACCTAGGATGGGTGACTTACTGCATGCTGCTAAACATACACAATGTGCGACGACCACTGATACTATTTGGTTGTCGCACATTGTATCAGTGGTTGTCGCAACATTGTGTATGTTGCCATATACTGATACTATTACTACAGCCGGAGATAAAACAGCATTTGTTTACCATTTTGGAACTTTCGTTCGAATACCCTTCGGACATAAAACTGATTTTTCGGAGATTAAATGATAAATTCTAAAGCAGCTTGAAAGATATGCTCCTTCTGTCTAACTCAAATGATATTATAATACTATTAGAGACTTTCAAGAAACATGTAGCCGATCTAAAAGCAGTTTTAGACAGCTTTTTGCAATTTAAATTTAATGCAAATAGCGAGAAATGCAGTTTTACTAGTAATAAAGTAAAATATCTTGGTCACTGGATTACTGTGAAGTAGAGGTTGATTCAGAAGAAAAGCTATGATAACTTGTGCAGAAGATGCCTGCTCCAAGAAACATGAAACAAGTGCAATCTTTCTTGGAGATCTGTTCCTGCTATAGAAGATTAATACTGAAATTTTCAGAAACAGCTAGATTTCTGAATAATGTAACAAAGAAAAATAGGAGCTCGACTTGGGGACCAGAGGAAGAAAATTCTTTGTAGACATTTCTCGTTAGCTCTCCCATCTTAAAGCAAAATGATAAAACAGAGCCTCACATTATTCGAATGGATGCTTGTAACTATGCTTTGGGTGTTGTGTTAGTACAAGGAAAAGGCTCAGAAGAATTTCCAATTGAATATGTTAGCCGCTGAAAGAAATTACTCTACAGAACAACAGAACATTACAACAGAACAAGAAGCTCTTGCTGTTGCATGGACCTTGAATAAATTCCGTGGCTGTATTGATGGCCAAGAGCCATCTGACCACCAGCAATTGAAATGGAATTTTAAGCTTAAAGTAACCTATGGGTAGACTTGCTAGGTGGACCACTCAATTAGATTTCTATAATTTGAAAATGGAATATATCCCTGGAAAAGCCAATTTTGTAACTGACGTTGCCATTTCTATAATTAACATCATTCCATTTCGATAACTGACACGTTGCCATTTTTATAATAATCCTACATGACATTTCTATAATTTGAAAATGGAAATCCCTGGGAAAGCCAATTTTGTAACTGACATGTTGCCATGCGCTGTGTGCAACCATGAAAAAGAATCTTGCGAAGTTTGTACGATAACCATTGATATGCTAAACAGAAGTGCAGCATAAATCTGGAGAATAGCTAAAGAATACATATCATTGAATCTTTCGAAAACGAAGTAAAAGATGAACTTTTACGACGAGATTATGTTATGATTAAAGCAATTCTGTGTCGTTATTCCCCAAACTGAATCAGAAGAAGCTCAACTAGTAGTACCAATATATGAGCGAGAAAAGAATTCTTAAGCAGTATCATGGTGCTCTTACAGCAGAACATCATGTTTCTGAAGGAACATACCATAGGATTTTCCAAAGGTATTATTTCACAGGAATGCTCGAATACATTGCAGATTACATAAAAACTGTGATAAGGGTAATCGCTATAAACCTTCAAACCAGAAACCATCCGGCTTGCTCCAAACATTAATATATAATTAACGCTTCAAAACGCTTCCTAATAATTTTTTTGGTCCGCTACCTGAAAGTAACAGTGGGAAAAAATTGATTTTTATTGTTGAAGATTGTAACACGAAATGAGTGGAGCTGTTCGCTTTACTCACTACTACTGCGAAGGAATGTGCAATAACAGTAACAGATGTCGTTTCCATACGATGCGGATTGCCTCGAAATCTAATCAGTGATAATGGAACTCAGTAGTTCGTTCGCACTGTCATGCAGTTAAGTATGTTTTCTGTTTTACATTAGCCAAGTGTTCAGGCCAATGTCACCGTCAAACAAATCCGATAGAGAGAGGGATTTGAAACATTGGTTGGCCATATTTGTGGGCGACAAACATTTTTCTTGGGCAGGTAAACTTCCGACAATTCGTTTCGCAATGAGTACTCGTAAAGACGAAACCACCGGCCAAATTCCCGCTGATTTCCAGTTTGGAAGAGAGCTACATACGCCGAACGATGTTACGTAAGATCTTAGGCATGTTATTTCCAATCATAATTTTGTAGCAGAAATTACTTGTTATTTGAAGAGATTTGCCACCACAAGTTCACTAGGTAAACGACCTGGTTAAAAAAAACAAGAGTATCGAAAATAGTATACTGATGCCGGATACTTGGATACCAATTTAAAACTGCAAATCGAATTTGTAATTTCAAGCGCTCTGTGAATAAATCCGTTGAACAGAAAACGCGCCTCGTCGAGACGGCCGCTACTTTATTAACCGACTACCTATGAAGTTTCAAACCTAAGTGAACCAGATACTCCGTTAGGTGTGTATCATTCCTCTCGACGTTAAGACCTTGCCTTAACTCATATTCATCACCTCATTAACGTTTTCGCTAGTTCCTCGTCGGGACGATGTAGGAGCCAGAGGGGGAGGCTAAGCAAAAAACTGTTAATTTTTCTCCTATCATTCTGAGGTTGAAAATACCAGAGAGACTTTACTTTCTTCCCCGTAAGATTTGAATTCGGATTGGGCTGCCGTTGGCGGGCAGAAAGAAAGACAATTGCGCTGCTGTCTTCTGGAAGTACGTTGGCATAACATTATCTAATCCACCTCGAGTAGTAATGTATCTGCTTGTTCTCAAACGGAAGACTTCAAAATTGGCATTCTTGAAAAAGTTATTCTAACAAGTTCAGAATTTATCTGGAAGATAATTTTCCGATCTATCTGAAAGTGCAAGACTGAAATCCTGCTGTAATAGGTTCGATCGTTGAGTAAATATACATGTGAAAGCTTCGTTAAAAATAAATATTATATAGAAAAGTCTGAATTTCACAGCTTCCGCAGAGGTCCGCAGTTCGATTCCCGGCGAATGCTTTGCTAATTTTTATCTTGTGTGCTTCCAAAAAAATACTTAATGTCTCTACACAATTAATAAAAAAATGCAAAATACTCCAGTTTAATCATTAAAATGTTTGCTTTTATGGGCTTTTATGCAGCTGTTATGGGAAGTGAATGCTATCATTAATCACCAGTGAATTGTTTTAGTAAATTAATACAGTTATTCGTCAATATTGTTTTACCCCCATTTCAAGCTTATCGTTAGAGTGATAAATTAGAAAATAGTCAGTTTTTGATGGTTTAAAGCAAAAAGAATGAAATTCTGACATTCGTCTTTCCGCTTTAATATTTCCATCGTGAGGTAATACACTGGTATGGTGTAGGTATCGGAAAGATGCAATCTCTTTATTTCTCAAGCATTTTAAGTCCGAGTATGACACATCCTGTATATGGAGATAAATGTTAAGTAATTATTGCTCCTGATTCTGTGTATGTGGTAAAAGATATCAATTTATAAATTCGTATTGTTTCTGATTCATTTTACAAAAGTCATCTATATGAAAATTCTGATTAATCTCAAAGGTAATTACTGTTTACATTTATGTTCGTTGTTTTAATATATTGAAAGCTTTTCCATGGCGTGATTCTAACATTTCCTCCACAATAAGATCTAACATATTGCTTTTAACTGAATTCAATATTTTTTCGACCATATTTACCTCTGAGTAAAACTATTAATTAGAAATATCAATAAAAATAAATCTTGTTTTTCAGAGCAAATTAAAAACAATGACAAATAATATTTTTTGACAAATCAACATTTTTTTTCCATTCAATCTGGGTATATGAATTTTTACTGAAGACCTAAATGCAAATTTTCATCTTTGCATAATTTAAAAATTTAAAGTTAAAATTTTAAACGTTTTAAAATATAACATTTATATATGCTTATCTGAAAACTGCGAAGTGTTTTAAACAAAGAGAAACCATATTAATTTACAAGTAGGGTAAATTGCTTTTCATTTAATAATGCTCAGTCTTTTTATTTTACGGAATGCTTTGAGAGAGGAGAAAGAGAAAAATGTATAAATTCTTTTTCTTATCAAACAACGTTAACATTAGACATGAAAAGATTTAAGGGAGATTTTGTTAGGCATTGATGCCAAAGATCTGATTGTATATTGGGGTTTGTTAACAGGTGTAACTTGGTAAAATGTTTATGTTTTATGTTAAAAAGTGTTGAAAGGAATATTACATAATAGTGGGACCTTTTTTAGTATCAAATATTAAAAGATTTTGAAATATGATTTGGTCTATATTTTTAAATTTCTTATCCCAGGAATTCGCATATCATCTTGTTGCCTGCATCACGTACCTATCTTCAAGTCTTATTTTATTGCTGTCGTTGGTTATCAAAGACAAAGGCAATGCTTCTTACAGAGAACCTGCATTTGAAGCAAAAGTATCTGTGTCGGTAAGTATTAATCAATTCACTGGTATCACTTTTACACAATTTGATTGATGCGCACAAAAGATAAAAATGCAAGAATAATTATGAAAACGAGTCGATGTTATACCGTATTTATGCGAATCTAATGCGCATCCCCATTTTAAAACTTTAAATAATAAAAAAATGTTTGTCGGCGAATGTAATGCGCATCAATGGTATGAGGAATTTATTGAATCTTATTTTATACAAATATGGATTTGTATATAAACTATCAATCAATGGTATGATAATTTAGATACCATATTTTATACAACAATGGATTTATACATAAAGTAGCACAACATAGAATTAACCTATTAGTGGGCTATTGTTATGTGAAACAATCATTGTTCATTACCACTACCGTATATACGGTACCTATCGTAAAAATATGAACATGAAATAAATCGTAACATTTCTATAGCTAACAGTTTCTACAAACCGTGATTAATAGTAATCGTCTTTATTCACTAATGTTTTCATCGCTGGAATCTTCGCAGCTCTCTTCGTCAGAAGCAGATTCATTTCTTCTTTTCTCATCGTCATCCTCGGCGTTCCAGAGCACGTCATCTTCACTGCCATTCAATGAATTTGAAATGCAGCATTTCTTGAAAGATTTTGCAATCATTGGATCTTCGATGCTTTTCCAGGCAGCAGAAACCCATTGTGCAACAATGTGCGGTGCAGTACGCTTAATTTTCCTATCGGGGTCAATTCACGGTTTGGATCACAAAACTATTTTTCGTACTCCGCCTGAACGTACCTCTTAAAAGGTTTATTTATACTAACGTCCAGTGGTTGTATAACACAGACGTCATCCCTCCAGGAATGATTACAAGATCACTGCCTAGGCTGCGCGTGTTCTTTTTTACGTCGTCGGTGAGATAACCACGAAATGCGTCCAGACAAAGCACTGATGGTGGATTGAAGAGCCGACCGGGACGGCGTTCTCATACATTTCGGAGCCAATCAAGCATTAATGATTTCGTCATCCACACCTTCTCTTGGTTTCGAATCAGGACATCATCTGGGAACAGCTTTTCATTCTTAGGGGTTTTAAGGCTTGTTTTCCGTTTGAAGATTAAGAAAGGGGGAAGTTTGCACCCGTCTGCTGTTATTGCCAGCATCACTGTTACGCGTTGTTTTACACATTCCCAAGTTTTAATGATAACTTCCTTAGTCCCCTTCTCCGTAATGGTGTAGTTATGAGGCATATCAAACCAAATTGGCGTCTCGTCAGCGTTGCCAATTTGCTCCATTGAAAAATTCTTTTCCTTCCGAAGTGTGATGACATACCGCTGAAATGTTAGTAGTTTTCCCTCAAAATCTGCAGGAAGCTTTTGGCATATTGTGTTGTACGGCGTCTTAGAGATAAGCCCATCCGCTTCATAAACCGATCCACCCATCCACGGCTAGCCTTAAACTCTTGTTTTCGGTATTCCAAGAACTTCAGCCTTCCTCTTTTGCTTTATTTCTTATGGTGTCACTAGTCACAGTTGTTCATTTTTCTTTTTTTTCTTCCTTTCACGTACAAATTCCAAAACTTTTTCTTCAATTTTAGGGTGTCTTCCTTTGCGAGAGCCAGTGAATTTCTTTCTACTAGCTTTAGTTGCAAACAGTGCCAATTTCTCTTGCCGCCACAAGCGAACACTGCTCTCAGCTACGTTTGAACTCTCCCCTGCCTTTCTATTGCCATTTTTTTTCAGCATAAAGAATTACTTTACGTTTGAAAGTAGCGTCATATGACATTCTCCTCTGTTTGCCCTCCCTTTCGTGACTACGTACTCTGCAGTTTGTATCCTCTATGCAATAATGTGTCAACGATAAATGTAACGGTAAATCTAGTCGACAAATACAGTAATCCATTGTTACGATTATAAATTTGGTGGACGTCATCGGCGAGCTTTGCACTCGAATCTAATGCGCACCCCAATTTTGAATATTACATTTGGCCAAAAACGATGCGCATTACACTCGCGTAAATACGGTATTTACTTTTACGAAATTTTCTGACTGTATAAAAGACTATGCGATCAATATAAAATATATAAAATTAAGACTTTCAGTACTGTCAACCTATTTCTGGTACACTTTTATCTCACTTTAAAGTGCTTTGAACTCCTCGTTGTTCTTTCGAATTAATGGAGGGCTGATAACTGGAAAATAAGTCTAAATGCAAAGATGACTCTGTATTCATAAAAAAGAAATTCTTACAAGTCTTTAAAGGAAAAATTTTCAGTGTGCTATTTAAAATAAAATATAATTAATAATTAAAAAAATAATGAAGACATAGGTTTTTTTATAGTTTATTACTTAAGAACCTCTGCTTTCAAGCCCTGTTCGCATACATTGATACTATATATAACAAATACAACACAAGGCTATGACGTTGCAAAATTTCAATTCAATTTATAGACTGATATAAAATTTTATACTGAACTGTCTTTAGATCCCAGTGTTCAGAGCTTAACTTCTAAATTTAGAAATGCCGGAGCCCTATAAAAGCAATGACAACGGAGTCAGAAAACGTGAACTATAAGAAATATTATTAAAATTAAACAAATAAAGTAGAAAGGAAAGAAAATCTGAAAGATTTCATGTTTGAGTTTGTTAATCAAAAATTCGTTAAAGTTTTACAAAATATGAAATCGATAATAAAACAAATTCCAAATTTGGTCTTCCAGATGCCCATATTCGCAGCAGGATTATGTCATTCATAAATTTTATGACTCTAGGCATTGTCGGATTTAGCATTTTTCCTAGGCGGGGCAAAATCTTAAAACTGCCGCCCTCACGCATCTTCCTTTAAGTTTCTCTAACAAATATTAATTCTTTAAATAAACATAGAAATATGTAGGGTTTGAGATAAAATGTAAAATCCATTTTATAATAAGAAATTCTTTATGTGCCATTTTTGTTATAAAAAAATATACGTAACAAATGATTTAGTTTCTTTACTTATGGCAAAGCACGTGCCTAAGAGGGAGAAATCGCTGAGGACTTTCTAAGAGTAATTGGCTCATATGGCAATTTCTGTATGAGCGAAACGACGCCCATGCAGTCCGCTAATTCTCTTGATTCTAACCCCCGACCGAATTGCTAGTGTTCAGACCTCTGAGCCGCTGGTGGTCCGACATACATACCAAAAGTTACATAATTAATAATCCGTGCGAACCCTCCTAATGCAGTTGCTTCTCCGGTGCATTGAAATAATCAAATTTACATTTTCCTTGAAATAGGGATTTTTACTAATATGTGCAACAATACCTACTCATACTAATAAATGATACTAATAGAAAATGATTCAGTACTAAATACTAAAATAGTTCAGCACAAAAATGGAAATCACACACTACTAAATAATAAAAAACATTATTTAAACAAATATAAGCAAATTACAAATAACTAATGCAATGGATTCAATAATTTTATACCAATTTCTCGATACTAACGGTAACTTTAACCCAGCACGTTAAAAATTCATTTCATTCTTTATGTAGGCTACTCAAGAACTGTACTATCGTCCTCACACAGCCCGATAACATAATAAATATTTACATATTCATACAAAAGACTTTTTTTGCACTGTAATAATTAAATTTACGTTTCCTCCGAAATATGCAGTTTTGCAATGTTTGCAACAATAACTAGCCGTACTAATGGAAAGTAATTCAGTACTAAATACTAAAGCAGTTCCGCATAGTACGAAAAATAGAAATGGCACATTACTAATAGTAGCTTAAACGAATATATATAAGTTACAAATCACTAACGCAATGAATAATCAAATTCCTTTTTTTTCAATAACATACTTAAATAAGTAAGTCCCAACGTTAAATCAAATATGCATTTGTAATAAAAATAATCTTTAGTTACAAACAATATATAACATAAGTTGGGACAATCGATGAGCTGATTCATTAATTAATTAACTTTCATTAGGTGTACATAACAACAATACGGGCTACTGCTGAAAGGAAAAGGTTAGCATTTTTACTTTTTTTCATAATTCTTATTTCATTAATAATTTTAAGTTCTTACCTAATGCTCTTAAACTATTACGAAATTAAAATTTTACTCTGCGAGCCTTTTGTTCTGCAAATAAATCTGTGGCCTCGTCATAATCATAATTAACTTCATGTACTGTTTGATTTTCGATTGCCAGAACTGCGTGACTTGTTAAACGCTCCTGATTCATCGATGATCTCAGATAGTTTTTAATTAGTTTTTAGTAATTTGCTAAAACTTCGCATATTTGCGGATGTAGTTGGAAGCATAGAGTAAATCTGCAGAGCAATATAAATATTGTAAAAGAGATCCTGAAAATTATAGGTGTAGATTTGTCGCAAGATAAAAAACTCTAGTCTTTTTTATGTCGATGAATAACATCGAGGCTTGTTGTTTAAAAACGGCAAGTTCCTGGCAGAACTCAAATGCGTTTAGATCTCGCTCATATTTTCGTGCAAGATCTGCTCCATTCTTTTGCAGTTCTTCAGTTGACATATTCAATATTTCACGACCATTGAGAAATACGGAAATTGAATTTAGTGTTTTAGCGCTATTTACCTTCGTTTTAATTTCTGATAAGATTCGATCAAATACAATTTTTATTGCATTAGAACATAGCTGAACAGAATGAAGTAGTCATCATTCGTCCCCGTGCAATTCATCAAACTGCTTTTTGCGCTTTAGAATTCATTTATTTGTCAAAATAGGTTCAACCTCAATTTTTTCGGCTGCTGCTTTAGATTCTTCTTTCCAATATGCCATAGGAATTTCTCTTATTTTTTGCAAAGTTTTGGTCAGACATTCCATTAATGCGATGGAACGCGCAAGAATAGTATCTTCCTTTTGAATTTCAATATTTATTCGATTGATTTCTCAAAACCTATTAGCCCAAATTGTCAGGTTGATAATAAATTCAAAATTTTTTACAACATGTAGCAGATGTCCTGCTTAGTACTTTGATTCCGCACTAAAAAAAA